CAGCCTTCGTCTTTTTGGGTTTTGTGTGAGTTGCAACTGCAAGGTGAACAGTCAACAGTTGAAATACGCAAAACTGTAGTTACACGGAGAAAAACAATGTCTGCTCAATAAATATATCCTACAATAAATAAAAGTATTTTTATTAGTAACTTTTATTTTTTAGAAACTTATTTTAATTGTAAATTGTGTAAGCATATGCAAAAAAAAATTCAAAAAATTCAGTATCCCATTAATAAAGCATTCATTGACAGTTAAAATTCCACATGGGTCTTTTAAAATAAATTTAATTCCCAGATCCCACAATTTGTCAGATATGGAACATAATTTCCTTAAAATATTAATTTCAGTATTATATACTAGCTTTAGAATGTTAAATAAATAATTAAAAATAAATTTGATTCCAAATATTATTCTTTAGGCTCATAAAAATCCAACAAGGAAATTTTTAAAAAATACAAATTCAAGATTTTATGTACAGACTTTTTTCTCTGTGCATGTGTGCGTATTTGCTGTTCCTGTTATTGTTTTTGGAAAATTGCCTGAGCAGCAACAACAAATGTGGCAGGAGCAGGAGCAACAAGAATCCCACATGGCCACTGGGCAAATGCATTAACGAAAGTGGCTGAGAGTGCAACAGTGGCGGCGGCTTGAGGGGGTGCATTTCACATGGGGGCGCCGGGGTGCTGAGAAGGGGGGCCAACCAGGCGCTGCCGTGTGGCCTGGTGTATCAGCACTAAGAGATCATAATTCACACAAGTCGGCTAATAATTCAGTTAAGTTGAAATGCGCAACACACAAGTTGCACAGTTTCCCCAGCACAAGGGGCTGGAAATGTGAGCGCTGATGAAGTTGGCCAGAGGCGGGTAGCAGGGGTTTCTAGGGGTCAGAGGGTAAGTGCCACCCCGAACACACACACACACGCACGCTTGGGAGCCATTTGGAGGAGTGGGAAGATGGCGAGAAGCTCTCCAATTTCGGTTTATGGTCTCAGTTTGAGAACTAGTTAGGGAGTGGCTCCCAGTTGTGGGTCGAAAATTTAAGATACCATAAATTAATATATACAAATAATAATAATTATAAGCTAGAAAGAACTGTGGGGCCAGAGATCCCATACAAAGAATAGTATTCCTTTGAAGAAAAATAACAAAAGTTAAACATCTTTTAGATCCGTCAGACGATTAAAGCACACACCAATCTTGAGGATAAAAGTTAATGAATTATTATATTGAAATTGATAACTTAAGATAAGGATTAACTCTTAGATTAACTCTTAGATTACTTTTTTTGATCTATACGTAAATAGTCCCATCATGCGTTTCAGTATTTGCAATGTTAGGCAAGCTTTCAGATGGTGCAGCAGTTTTAAGGGATTTTCAGCGCTCTTCCAAATTAGTTTCAACCCCCCATGTGAGTGGGTATGTGGAAAAGTTTATTGTTTATGAGGATCAACAACTTCTCCTCCCTTGAATGTTGGTCCTTGGTAGTCTCAGTTTTTCCATGTTGTTTTCTTGATTCCTTTGCTATCGCTTAGTCTTAGGTTTGTTTGCTGTGGTAAAGTAAAGTGGAATTAACCATTTAAGGAAAATCCCAGGTTTCTACATTTACAGTTTTGTAGAGCTATCAGATTTTTAAGTTTAACATGATGATTACAATTAGAATACACAAAATATTTTCAATCTTCTCTAACTAAGAATAACGACGTAGAATTTAGTCATATCTAATTTTTATAAACACCATATAATTTTAAAGGTGCACCCAAGTAAGAATTGACTTACCTTTTCACAATGCCATTATAAGTCCATTCAGGAACTTCATTCACTTTTTGAAAATAAACATAAATGAGGTCCAAATTAGGGAGACCGCCAAAAGAACAAGAACATTGACCATTAGAGCCAAGGACTCAATGGGTTGGCGTCATTTGTGCCTAAAATGGCTGGGACGATGCATCTGCTTGGGGGCAATTAGGACAGCTCGTAAATATGCCAGAATGCGCTCGGATGCATCAATGAATGTGTCAATGATTAGGCTCGCCGGGACAAAGGACACGATGGCCACGATGATGGCGCAAATCGAAATGTTGCACTCCGCATCGGTGGGCTGGTGAGGTGAGGGGAGGGGGCGGGAGGGGTCGGTCTTGACGTCAGCGCCTAATGCAACTGCAGTGAAGAGGGGGAGGGTGGGGGCGTCTGAAGGGGAAGGGTGGTGTCGTGGTGTGGTAACTGCAGGTCATAATCAAGCGAATGGAAGTAAAGGACAACGACGCACGATACACAGTGCACTAACAAAATTCATTTTAACTATATAATGTTTATAATCCATCTCCTCATTAATTTTATAACTTGCCATTAAGTCGAAAAACAAATTCTAAATGTCATCAAACTGATAACACTAGCTTACAAAATATTTTTTTATAAATTACCCAAGAAGAATTGTGATAGTTCCTGGTTGAGTTGGACCTCTTTATCTCAAATCAGACGCCAAACAAATTGTTCACATTTTCGTATAACAAGAAATAATAATTACATAAATAATAATAATTAAGAATACATATACCAAAACTTGTGTAAAATATGAGTGTTCGTAATGCTAATAGCTTTTATCGATATTTCCAAAAACGAAAAGAAATGGTTTGACAGTACTGTCTAAGGGAATAACATGAACCCTCCTACGTTGATCTATACTGAAATTCCCATTTCAGGCGCAAAGCCGTTACCGGTCTAATATTGTTGTATATGAAACCAAAATAAAATCTCTTCCACCGATGACTATGTCGAAATATGTCTTGTTTGGTTCGGTTGGACGATTACTTTAATTGCTTCGACTTTTTGTTGGAAATTTTTCGAGGTTTTAGGATCTCACAGTTACTGAATTGTTAAAAAATTACTATTTTTCAACTCGAGGTATAAATATAAGCCCGGAGATACCAAAAATGTTCTTACAAAAATCTTTAAGAAAAACTACAAATTTTATTACTTATTTTCTACCATTATCATCCTTGGGTATTTAGGTTGTAAGCTAGTGTAATTGATATTCTTATCATAGATACACCAAATAATTGAACTCGAGGAACGAAAAAAGGTCATATGCAAGTGTTTGTTGAGCTGATAAAAATCTCACGTTATCAATTAGATAAGAGAAAGTAAAATTTATAAATATTATATCAGTCAATACATGTACATTTGTCTGTTTATTAAAGTTTTAAGTACTTATTCTACGAAAATATATGCATTATTCGGTTTAATATTTCACAACATTATGTGTTTGGTTTTAAGCCTATTAACGAAATAATATTACTATATTATTTATAAAATAAGTTTAATTTTTTCGAGTGCACATACACCCGCACTCCACTAAGGACGGACACACACACACGGTCGTTCCATTGCAGTCAATTTATTGTGACCAATATAACGCCCGGACTGACTCGCCGGATAGCTCCTGTTCGGGGGAGGGGAAACGGGTGGTAAATGAGAGGGGCCAGGACTCAGTGGGTGCATGTAAATTGAAAATTATGGCAATGCGCAACAAGATTAGCCAATGGCTGGGTGGTGCCAGTGGAGCTGGCGGTTCCGAGCCATCCTAACAAGCCCCAAATGAATTTATCGAGATGGGAAGAGATATGGGAGGGACAGCGGTACGCGGGCTGCACAAACATAAACTAAATGAGTGCCCATGGCCGCCAAATGAAGTTATGACTTAATGTATACGGTTATCCATACATATATAAAATGAGAACGGGAGAAACAGAAAGATAAAAGCCGAAATATCTCCCACCGAAAATAAACTTATATGGAATACATTTATGATATGCAGATTTCGGAGGAAAAGTTAGTGGTGCCTAGAGCTGGAAAAAGAATCGAAATCAGACAGCAGACACAAGTGAAATTCAACATTATTATAAAACTATTCTATGTTTAACTGAAAAATGTGAATATTTATAAGTAACATTTGTAGAATATTTTAATAAATTTAACAGAAGTGTATCATGTCTTATTAGTTAATATGTAAACATAAATTACATTTACAATGTAATATTTTTTTGTAAATATGTTGGGTGATATATTTCCTATGTTCAGAAAAGTTTTTTAGTTAACAAGCAGAAATGCATTTTTCAAGTTTCCAGAAAGTTGCCGGAGAATTACGAAATGTCTGAGAAATATGCATAATTTATTTGGCCCACATTTTAGTCCATAATTCGAATATACATGGAAAGGATTTTAGCCAGGACACTTACACACACCGAGAAACACTGCGAAGTGGCTCGGAATCGAGTGGCTGGGGGTGCATATCTTAGCTTCGATGTGGCAAATTCATTCCACTTTGGCGCTCTGCAGTCAGCTCCACTCGAGCATTTTTCTGCGCCATTTTGACACAGAATCCAAAACACTCAGTCACTCACACACATCTGCAGTGCGGGGGATCCCCGTTCCCGGGAAACCCCCCCCCAGAACTTCCGAATGAATCGCAGGCAGATTCTCATGCTGTATGCTGCATGCACTGGCTGCCTTATTATGCAAATGTCCCAACTCGAGATGCGCTCTCGCCTGCCAACGTCATCGATTTATAAGTTATGCAAAAAGCGGGAGCCAGAATTTACCTACCCCTGCCACACAACGCCCCTGACTTATCCGCATCTCTCGCATCTGAAACATCGGGCTTTGACTGTTTGACTACTTTGTAAGCACGGGTTTATGTTGTAGTTGCCACTTTTGCTGACTGCAATCCAAAAACTGAACAAAATCAATCTAAGTGCAGCAGACTTATACGTACATAGTCTTGGCGAGCAAAAAAGATAGTCTTCTACAAAAAAAAACATAAAAAGTATTATTACTTTTAAAAAGTATTTAACATTATAGTTACCCCAATCACCTAGAGTTGACAGTCTCACTTACCAGAATTGTTCACAGTGCTGCAGTACTCAGATTGACTACGAAACAAGTGATTACACCCCCAAAAGTAAAAAACCAATATAAAAAGTTTTACTTACTTCGGCCATCCGAAGTTTTAATAACCTAGCAGATTTCATGACTTGAAATGTGACTTAAACAGTATAAATATAAATATAGATAAAACAATTTCTTAAAAATAATAAATTTTTACCTCTCTAACTGTATTAGTCCATGCAATCGGACCGATTTTTATCCTGATCATAAAAGTATTAAGATTTGCAAAGTTTTATCAATAATCAGGAAAATCGGCATGTATTATTTTGTTCCTATGGGAGATAAAGGCCATAGTCGTCCAATCTAGGGACTTTTCTAGAAGGATTTCTGCTTGACCCCGACGATGCACGTCCAGACGACCCCTATCAGCCCATGGGTTTCGATGACGCCTTTGTACCACCCATCAGCTAAGTATTTCGGAAACCCCTCGGTGCCCACCTGGCACTTTTCGTACTTAAACACCTGGGCGGGGATCAACTCCAAGGTGTCCGCGAACTGTGGAAGGTTAGAGCAATTGGCCGCACTGGGCATGATTATTTTCTTGTAGAAATCGTTAACGGCGCTGTAGACAGTCTGGCGCGGAATCGAGTACGGCTGGAGCTTGTATGTCTCACCGCCGTCGGTGCTGCGGTAGATGGTAACGTCCACCTCCAAATCCTGGGGAACATCCACGTTGACATACAGGGTACCACTCAGTCCGTATTCCCCGCGACCAATTCGGTCGACCCGAGTATCGCCGCCGGCCAGCTCCGCATTGTCTGTCGTCATGGACACCGATATTAAAGTGTAGTCCCAGGACCTCTTTTTATTAAATATTCAACAACGTCCAGTCAAAAATGTTAAGTATTTCAAATAAGTCCGCTTACCAAATTGCCCGCATCGACCGAAATTGCCTCCACCAAAGAACCAGAGAACAGAAAAAATATTCCAGTGCAATATAATGACTGCATTTTAAACATGTCAGCTTCGGCTTTGTTTTCAATCTGCTCTAACGTAAGCATTATTTATATCATTTATTTCTGGCTGGTTAACAACATGTCCGACGTTATAAAATGATTGTGTTAACATGTTTTTGGGATTGGGGTACTTGATAAATACAAATTAAGCTTATATTAGCTTATTATTAGGGCTATGATTAGAGGAGTGGATCGAACAATTAGTTTACTATAAATATATTTAGTATTACAAAACGGAAATTTTACAGGTCTGATAAAGATAAATAAAATACTAATTTGTATTAATAATTTGATTCAGAGGATTGATCATTTGGTAATAGCTGAAAAGAAAAAACGATATTATATTTCATATTCTTTTGATACTGACAAATCCGTATCCAGCTACGAGGTAAAAGCGGGGTTTCCTTTATTTTTCGGAACCAGTTTGGAAGTATATCAAAATAAACTGTATACATTGTACATGGGTTAGCCTTCTTGTGTTAACCTTTGCCCCTTCCATTCTCACTGATTGCTTCCGCACAAAAAACAAAGAGGCAAAAATCGAATCCTAACTAGAACAACAGCAGACGGAAGAATGGATAAAACGGGTAAAAAAGTAGGGGAGCAAAAAACTGTAAATCATTGGTAAATATCTTTTTACAATGCGAATTTTAATCAAAGTTTTTGCCACCACAGTGAGTTTTATTCTTTGCCCAACATCGAAAAAACGGAGGGGCATAGCAGTAAAAAGGCTTTTTGAATTACATACAAAAGCCGTATTGTTGGGCGAATGGAGAGCTTATTGGGCGACCCTCGCGCAATTATCACAAATTGATTAATTTAAAATGGCATTTCAGTGCATTTAAATAGTAACTAATAGCTTGTATAATTAATTGATTGCCATTTTAATTGAGGTGATTTAACACCATGCAATATACATGTAAGGAATTAAATATGTACAAAAATAATTATTTAGGCCGTTGTAACTTTTAATCCAAGCTAAATAATCAACAAAGTTTTCGATGGAAACTTTAAACTTACTTTAAACTTACTTGTTTAATTTTTTATTGACTTAAAACCTTTTTTTTTCCTTTTAAACACTTCAAACAATGATTTTCAAGGAATCGTTTGGTATCTGAAAAAGTTCTCGAGGTATGGGAGTAGACCAGTATCCGAACGCGCAGTTCTGAAAAAAAAACTTTAAATGCGGTATATGTACCTTTGAAATTAAAGTTTAGGATACCCTAAAGGGAACATTTGTATAATTTTTTTTGGTTTTGTGAATGGTAAAATTGAAAGTTAATATGTATTTTTGAGTACTAGCGTCGTTGTTAAATATTCAAGGAGCTTACAATACGAATGCAGTTTTTTCTATAAAATCGAAAGTTCTTTTTCATATAAAACAGACAAGCTAATATATAACATTCATATTTTACTACCACTTATTGAAACATTCGTCGATCATTTAAAAATCAGCATCCTGCGAAAAGTGGTAATTGTTAGCTACTCTTCATCTCACTTTCTCTTTTGAAAAATAAAATGGTAATACTCTAGATTAGGGGATTCACCTCCGAAATTCTCGAAAAAATTATCCTCGATAGACCACGATTTCTTGAGAATTTTCGTGAAAAAAGAACTTGGCGGTCGGACATGGTTCTCTTGTAACTGAATTTCAAAGTTCTCGGTTTTGCTATAAAAATCAAGGGTGTTTTTCTTATATTTTCAATAAAAATAATTGTATTTTAATAAACAGTTATAAAATTAACTAAATTTTTAAATGTGTGTTTCTATAAACCAAATTAGGGTTTCAAATGAGTTCCTATAAAAATCATGCAACATTTTTTTTCATTTCATAAAAAATGTTATTTTTTGTCTACTGAAAAAGCATATCTAAATAATCATGTTATACGTGCAGTGCGTTCTATAAAGGACACATGACAGATGCTCACTATGCTGTACCATGATTTCAGTAACGGCCATGAACGATCATGGAAATCCACGGTCCCCCACCATTTTAATGCATTAAATAACACTCCAACAATTTGTATCTTTATATTTATTCAAATAATTTCAGTGAACACTTTTCCGAACCACCATTGAGGTAACGTTCCAGGCTCCTTTTTTATAGTGGTGTCTACGTTGCAGATCTTTCAACAGAGAACCTTCGCCGGCAGTATTATCTTTCCATCATCCTCCATTATTTTTAGGGTTGTTGGATTTTGAAAAAATATCGTATTGATGATATTTGCTGTTTGAAAAATATCACACAATGATATTAAGAAATATCATAAAAAAAGATCGATATATCGATTTTTTTTGATATTTTTTAATGTTCAGCTAATTTCGAAAAATGGTGTCCTGTTGCTGTAAATTTGGGTCTTTTATAGGTCTTTTATAAAAAATAATAAGAAAATAATAGCCAATCCCCCAAACTCAAACTCCCACAACATCATATAGTTCTTAAAAAGTTCAAAAATAATGCCCAAAATATAAATAAACATCAATGTAAACACAATTAGAATCTAAGGATCCCATAAATAGTATAATCTTGTAAATATGTATATAATCTCACAGTAAACCCACAACTTAGGCCCCGAGGCAAAGGCCTAAGCTACTATGGCTCCAAAACAAAACCCCTTTTAGCGCTTAGTTTAATACTATTTCTTATCATTAGATAAATAAATTAAAAAAATAACAAAATTATTAGGGATTTGGCACAGCCCATTGTTTTCAATTTTATTTATAAAAATACTGATTACATACATTTGAACTTATTGTTTTTAATTATAATTCATGAAATTACATACATTTGTACTTGTTTTTAATTAATTCGCAAAAAAATCTGTTTTTAATGATTTAAGAAAAACTTGTTCGGTTACATGCTGGTCTGTCATACGACTACGGGAGTCACAAACAACACACTTTATGGCAGAAGCCAACCGTTCCGATGAAACCGAACTACCAGGCGTGATCAGGCAACTTAATGCCACCTTCGCTCTCATGGGCATAGTTTATTTTTGAGAGATCCAGATATCCAAAGGATTTGTCTCCCAACTACAAAATGGCATACTAAAGAAAAGCTGCATTTCCTTTCTTTCGGAACTCTAGACTACAGAGTCTCGGAGCTCTATAGTCCTGTTGTGCAAGAATCGCCGCCCACATTATCAGTGGCTTCTTTAAAAGGTTGGAGAACATGACAAAAATCGCGACAAATATTAAGCTCCTCCACTGAGAGCATTTCTGTGTGCATTTCGCAGAAGTAGCATTTGATTCTGTATAAAAATCTTTTGCCGCACTCATTTTCACATACATTTCTCACTTTGCTTTCTGGCTTAAGAGCTTAAGAGTGACCAAACATAAAAAATCGGAAATATCATAAAAAAATATCGTCCAAATATTTTGATATATTTCCGACATCCCTAATTATTTTGCATGGGGTACAGCAGGTTGGACAGTCCCGCTTGTCCAAAGCAACCCCATCGCAAAATGAGGTTTACCATCCATGCCGAGAAAATTTCCAAACGTTAGAAAGCAGGATTGGCACGTTATGTTGAACAGAATGAATCAATAAACAACAATTTTTCATACAAATTTCAATATTACATAAAATGTAAAGACAAGTACACTTGTTTTTCTATAGCAAAACCGGGAATTCTGAAATTCAATTACAAGAGAAATTCATGCAAATTTCAATATTACATAAAATGTAAAGACAACTCGATTTTATAGCAAGTATGTGAAAAGTACACTTGTTTTTTTATAGCAAAACCGGGAACTCTGAAATTCAATTACAAGAGAACCATGTCTGACCGCCAAGTTCTTCTTGCACGTAAATTCTTAAGAAACCGCGGTCAATCGAGGATAATTTTTTCGCGAATTTCTGGCTAGAGTATAACCATTAAAATAATGTAAACTTGATGACAATGTGGTGATCTGTTTAAAATAAAACGTAGACCTTTTTCCTGATCGTTTTCATGGGAGGTATGGGATATAGGTCGTTCTAATATTGGGCTCAAAAACTTCACGATCAACCCGAGAACTTCCACTCGCTAGTGTGTCCCCACCGGCTCTCCCGCTCTTTCGCTCCATCTCTCTCTGGCACACGTCCCGCCACTCGCTTCATCTCGCTTCCGCACTTCGATTGGCGAAAGCTCCGCTCGCTTCCGATATCAGCTCACAACTTCGTTTGAAAGCTCACGATCGGACGGGGCGAAATCGAAATCGAATCGCGGCTGGGAGCTTTTCGAAGTGCGAGCGTCGACGTTTTATTTCTGCGGCTCAGTCGGTTTTCGTTCGTTCTGTTGGAGAAAAGCAGCAATCACACGTTCGCAAGGTGAACGCGAAGACACAGCAAAGTAAGCCCCCTCCACCCACCCACGCCCACAAAGCAAATAAGTAAAGATAAATATTGTTTCAAAACGGTTCTGGGCAATTAAAGTAGTCGAAGAAAGCGGCATTGAAACCCGCCTTGAATTCGCCCCGAAAAAAGTGACGAAGCAGCGATCAAAGCGGAGAGCGAAAAATCGCACACAGACTGCAAGTGTGTTAGATAATAAGTGCAGCACATACACAGTCAAACATAAGGAAAAACTCCAAAACTTTCAAGTCTATGTTGGTTTTCAAAGAGGCTCGGAAAAGTGCGGTCTGAGAACGTGAAAATTTGCGCGTGGAAAATAATTTTGCCTTGTCAGCTGACCCCCTTCCCCGTGCTCGCTCCATCTCTGTCGCACCGTGGGTCTTGTGATCGCCGCCTCTCTATCTCTCTCTCGTTTCGAAATTCGAAACAGAAGTTGGAGTTTTCGGCTTTCTAGTAATGAAAAACCAATATGGAGACCGCGATTTAAAAGGCGGCCCCAGATTATTGCCTTTTCCCCATCCCACTTTTTTCATTTGTCAGCTGACGGCAATGACAGTAGTCTTGTGATCAACGTCAAAGCAATTGTCAAATTTTCGAACTCGAACGGAGAGAGAGAGCGTGAGCGGAGAGTTGCTCTCCGACTCTCCTCTCTTGTGTTTTTTTTCTGAGATAAATAT